TTTAATACTTGTAGCTAATAATAATCAAACATTTATTTATTCAATTTTCTAAAAGAAATTACTTGAAAAAACAATCCGCAAAATGCAGAAATGTAGGTAGGTATTAATTATTATTGTATGGTGGCTGAATTTTCATACGTAGGACAAAAAACAGGAAGCAATGTTCTTGAAAGTTTAAGATACTATTTAAAGATTTTTATATGACAAGTATGTATTTTTTCATTGGCAATATATGGATGGAGTGGAGCCTTTCATTTTCATATCCATGAATTGCTGCACTGATAATTACTCGACATTTAATTACCGGCCAAAAGTTTTGAATTTTCGGCCAATCCAAAATACTCCGTGAATGTCAACAAAGATTTTACGTTTATACGATACCAAGGAAAAAGTATTGATCCTTCACGAAATTTCAACGACCGGGTCTGTAGTACGCCACTAACACACGCGTCAACATGAAACCGACGCGTACCAGATCGCCCAACATGTCGCTTCGTCTTTGTACGTAATGAATCATTAAATATAATGTTATTGTAACATTATGAGCTGTTTTATAAATAAACAATTCAATACAAGTACTGTAATAAATAGTCAGCTTTCTCATCTCGAGCGGCTTAATTTTTTATGTTCTGTTGCCAATTGGATAATATTTTGATGTGAACGCTTCAGATAACTTTCGAACTTTGTTGCAGTCATCCTTATATAATTTTAAATAATACTGATACCATGAGTAATATAAATCTTTATAAAAAAACACTGAATAATTTTTATATACAGGGTCGGAAAGTCCCCATGGTTCATCGACCGTTACGTGAGAGCGATAAAGAAAGTCATAGAAATCCGTGCGATAGAGAAAGATGGGTATAATGAATAAGATCCACTTCTTATTTGTGGAAGGGCGAAATGGGCGGTGACTATTAGACGCCTTCATTATAGCCATCCTTCTCTATCGCACGGATTTCTATGACTTACTTTATCGCTCTCACGTAACGGCCGATGAACCATGGGGACTTTCCGATCCTGTAGGTAATTTAGGGTAAAAATTCACTGAATCGGGATATAAACATGTATACCAGTGGCGGAGATGCTGGGAGTTATTTTCAGTTAAAAGCACCAGTAATTCTATACCACTCGAAAAGGAACCATTTTCGATTTATAACTTTTTTAACTCTAATTGCTATTACTAAACATATCATTAGACCTAACAAGTTTAGAATTAAACATTTCACAAAAAAAGTGCAGTCGCGCTTGTCAAAATTGTATTTAAAGATGGCATTAATTCTGAAGTGCACAATTGTTTGCCTGCGGCTAGTTTTTTGTTGGTACATGAAGAAAAAAAAATGTTCTGCACAGAAACAACTGGAAAAATTCGGGAAATAGCCGGAAAACTGCAAAAAACCTATTTCCTGAATAACTTGAAAAGTATTAGGAATTTCACAAACACGCAAAGTATCAAAGTTGTAGAACATAAAATATTCATTTTTTCTTACAGTACGTTACTTAGGAGATCAGCCAGCAAAACACCTATTTCAAGACGGGGCTGCACTATTTAAATTATGTGAAACAATGTTTACTCGAAGGGAGGAGCTTCAAACTTTCTTGCCATGTGTTATTTTACAGGGAAAATATAATTTATTCCTTAAGATAACTATGTGGGATCATCGTAGAGCTTAGTTGGCAGTCGAAGTTTGGCATTTTTTTTAAGTTAATGGGACAACCAATCAAATTGGGCAAATATTTTGCAATGCGACATGCATTTTGTATGAATCGACCCCGGTAAAAATTTGCCTGTGTTTTATTTCATTTATCATATTTTTAGGTTATAAGCGCTAGAATCACTTTTTGGAAACATTTAAGTATCGTATTATCGTTAGCAAATTTTTCAGGAAACTTATTTTTGATGCAGGCAGATTGCGATCGTCATCTATGCAAAAATTCTGGGTTGTTAACCATTGGGTACAGTCCATCCCTGGCGTTCTGGACATAATGAAATCTCACTTACAACATCAAAAACAAGCTGTACGCATGTGTTAACGATCACCAAATTTGCATCATGCTGAAGTTAAGAGTTAGTTTAGAGACTGTAAATAAGAATAACTTTTTAATTTTCACCTTTGAGGGCCCATAACTTGTTAACGAAGGCCCGTATGAAAAAAATGTACCTATATGAAGAACCGGTATTATTTTGACCTCATCTAGTTGTACTAGACTTTTTTGTATCAAGTACCGGACACCCTGTATATAGTACATGGATATATTCTTTGAAACCCGTTCTTTAAGAATATGACATGAAAAAATCATTATGGCTCTATTTTCATTCTCTATTTTCAAAAGTTTGAGAATTGCGTGTTTTTTTGGCCGATTTGCTGATTGATGAATCGGCATTTTATGTAAATATATAATTAAATATCTCTTAAATGACCCACTGTACGAAAAAATTAGTATGTACCTTTGTATATTTGTGAAATTCTCAATACTTTTTAAGTTATTCAAGAAATTGCAGAAATTTCCCGAATTTTCTCGGTCCGCTCCCGTACTGCCATCTTAAAAGCTCTTGCAATTTGGACTATACAGTACGCGCCTAAAGTATGCAATAAATTAAGTAAAAACGAAACAAATTGTTTTTTGGGAAAAATCCTCGAACAGGTCGATTTTTAATTTAAAAAATACATATTTTAGCATAAAAGGCGATTTTCAACCGTCATTTGTTTTCGAGTAATGACGTTATCGACATTTTTTTTAAATAGCAATCCCCTATTTTTTTTCTTGATTCTGAGAGATCGTTTCATTGTCGATCTGACAGTATTAAAATGTTGCCATCTTACACAGGAAAGTTTTCGAGTAAATGACGATTGAATGTTAGAAACCCAAATCAATTAAAATAAAGCAAAAACGTTATCAAATTTAGTTTTTCGAAATGGATCACGTAGTTGTAAAACTTTACAAAGTGTTGCTAATTTATATCTAAAAATTATCGTTGAATTTAAAGTATTATGGCACATTTAACTGTCACACAAAGAACTGAAATTTTAATTCTTATCGGATGTGGGGATAAAACTAGAACGCAGCAGGAAGTTTACGATTTATTTAATGAAAAATATCCAGATTGCCATATCAGCCAATCAACAGTAAGTAAGATAGAATCTAAACTTAGAGAAACTGGCAATGTTGTAGATATTCCAAAACCTGGACGTCCAAGCGTTAGTGAAGATCACAAACAGAACATTTTGATAAGTATGGTATAGATAATCCTCATAATACTTCACGATTAGTTGCATTAAACAATGAAATTAGTCAGACCACAGTGCTACGTATCCTGAGGCAGGAAAAATATCATCCCTACAAAATTCAACTTGTGCCGAAATTCAATGAAGACGATTCCGACCGCCGCTTACACTTTTGTAAAATTATGATGGATTTACTCAAATAAATAGAGATTTACAGTATTTACACCGGCAAATACTTTTTTCAGACGAGGCCACGTTTTGTCTCAATGGGACAGTGAATCGTCAAACTTGCAGGTATTGGAGTCGGGAAAATCTTCATTGGATGGCAGAGACACACCCAATTCCCACAGAAATTAAATGTGTGGGTTGGAATAGTTGACAACAGAATAGTAGAACCTTTCTTCTTTGAAGGAACCCTTACAAGAGAAAGATATTTAGAGTTTTTTCAAAATGACCTTGTTCCAGCGCTTGCAGCAATTTTTCCTAACGATATTCCTGATGACACCATATGGTTTCAGCAAGACGGTGCACCTCCGCACTATGCGCGCCCTGTTCGAGATTTTCTGGACAATTGTTTTCCTAGGAGGTGGATCGGCAGACGAGGACAGATGGAACCCCTGGACTATTTCTTATGGGGCTACTTAAAGTCCAAAGTGTACCACATAATTTAGAAGAACTCCAAAATTGCATTATAGATGAAATACACAGAGTTACCCCAGAAATAATTCATAATGTGCAAGAAGAATTTCTACACAGACTTGCATATTGTCAAGAAGTCGATGGGTGATTCGAACACTTAATTTAGGTAGAAAACTTAATGAATTGTATTTGCTTGACAGAGGAATTGTTATTTTTTTAATGAATAAAATTTACGTTTTCTAACATTCAATCGTCATTTACTCGAAAACTTTTCTATGTAAGATGGCAACATTTTAATACTGTCGGATCGACAATGAAACGATCTTTCAGAATCTAGAAAAAAAATAGAAAATGTCGATGACGTCATTACTTGAAAACAAATGATGATTGAAAATCGCCTTTTATTCTAAAATATGTATTTTTTAAATTAAAAATCGACCTGTTCGAGGATTTTTCCCAAAAAAAATTTGTTTTGTTTTACTGAATTTATTCCATACTTTAGGCGCGTACTGTATATGTTTATAGGTATGTTAAAAATGTATTAAATAATACATTTTAAATATACCTAAAGTAAACGTGAATAGTACGAGAAACTAATTGGTGCAATTTTTTACCGACTCAAACTCCTTACTACCTCTAACAATAATGCAAAATTTGACTCCTCTGGTTTTTTTCAGACTTGTCGTCATAATTAGCTTGTAACGTTAATTAAGAAAGTAATAAATGGAGAAGGAAGGATTTTTATTTTGGAAACACCACTTTAATTTCAAAATATTCAGTGGCGTAGGGATTTTTTAATTATATAAACCATTAGCTGAAGTTTCATCGTTATGTAACAAACGTCTTCAGAAATATTTTAGAAAAAAGCGAATTTGTTTAAAATTCGGTTTCCTGTATCTTGAAAACTATTGACTTGTGGACCCAAGTATATAACCATTTTGACTTAAAATCACTCAAAGAATCATCCCTTAAAGTTAAAAATGGTGTAAATTAAATATTTATTTCCTCAATTAACCATTTCTTAAAGCTTACACCCTTAACGTTTGTGCATTTCTTGGAGAGATATCCTCGTATAATAACATTTAACGACATAATTTCAACACAGTAAAAGATGTATCAGAAAAATGTACTTACCCAAGGCAGTCTTGGTCCTGACGTTCCTGGAATACCCCATGGGATGCAGGATAGCCCAATACCTGTCCACGGAAACTGCCACTAGACAGAATATCGAAATAGTACAAAGCACAACCAACAAAGACACTGTAAACAAACAAGCGTGCAAATTGACGGGAAGCCCCACCGAAGACAGAATGGCGAAAGGAATGCCCAACAGCCCCACTAACAAATCCGCAGCTGCTAAAGAAACAATATAGTAGTTCGTCCTTCGCCTCAACCTCCTTTCCTTTCGAAAAACGAATATCACCAGGGCGTTACCCACGACGGCGAAGATGGCCACCAGGACCTCGCAGGCCGCGTAGTAGAGATTCAGCTCGACCTTTTGCTCGCTGTAGGCCTCTATGGTGATGTTGGTCGTGTTCGCGTCGTTTACGACGATCTCTGTCGTTGCCATTTTTAGTAATAATCGTGGCAGTTCTGATTTATTTCACGCTAAAAGCGTTTAGGTCCCGCTGAGACATGATTGCACTTTGTAGGAAGGTTTTTATCCCACATCCATTTCCTTTGGCACTTCTTTGCAGACGCGGAGCTTCATCTGAAAAAAATAATTAAATGCAATAAAATGTAACGAGACGTAGTAATGTCGTATGTTCCGTAGGGTTGCACGAATATGTGCAATTTTTTTCTAATTGTTTCATAGTCAACTGGCATGCAAATAGGTTTCTTTTTACTTTTCACAAAAAATATTTTTCTTCAGTTATACCTATCTAAATTTTAATTTTATACTAACATCCCATTTCTCAAAATTCATAAATTCATAAATTCATAATGCCATAACTCTAAGAAAAATGAAAATTTTGATAAAAATAAAAAACTCCTAATTATATTTATTACTTGATTTATAAAAAATTATTTGGCACATACAGAGTGTTTATTAATTGAATGCCGATACTTAAGGGTGTGAATCCTTGGGTCATTTTAAGAAGAAAACTTCATATCAACATATGTTTTAGAAAAAATTTACTTTTTTATTATAATTTTCTTATCACTCCAGATATTTTTATGAATTTTTGTACACACCTATTAATCATTAAGGAGCATTGTTTGATGTAAAAAATGTTTTAAAATCTTTGCCAATGACGTCCGTACGACGTTTCAAATAAATATTTTTGAAGAAAAAAATGGTACGCCACTGTTTTTTCTAAAAACTAAAATTATTTTTAAAATCTCCATTTACTTTACAGCAAATTCGGTTCCTAGACTTACTCTCGTACGACGCACCATTTGCACGTAAAAAAATTAAAACCAAAAAAAGTTTTTTCCCCAAGTTCATTGAGACTGTTTTTGATATTTTGTTGCTATTTTGTAGACACCCACCATGCGTGGAAACACTTTTTGTGGGGCAAAAATTAATTTTCTACCTTCACAAATGACGTTCACGTAGGCATAATATTAAATGTTTGGATAGAAAAAACGGTAAGCTCATTAAATGCCCCCTTAAAGCAAATGAAAAAAAAATTTGTAGGCTGGGTAAAGTGTCATAATATATTTATTATGTATTTACAGTAGTAGTTGAAAGTGTCCTCCACCCTCACGTATGCAAGCATCTACTCTTCTTCGCATAGACTGACGTACATTTTCAAAAATTCCTGGGGTGTCTCTTATGGTTTGGCAACATACTATTATATGATTTCGTAACTCTTCTTCGGTTTGAATCGGCACTGCCTACACTAAGCTTTTCAGATGACCCCAGAAAAAGTAGTCTAAACTATTAAGGTCGGGAGATCTGGGCGGCCATGACTGCGTTCCTCCGCGGCCTATTCACCGATCGCGATAGTTGTGATTTAAAAATTCACGCACCCGTAAGCTAAAATGTGGAGGCGCACCATCGTGCATTAGCCACATCTGGTTTCTTAATAAACGGGGAAGGTCTTCAAGCATTGGCGGCAGATCTTCTTCAAGAAAGTGTAAATACGATTGTCCATCTAATCTTCTTGGGAGAAAAAATGGGCCTATCAAATAATTGTCAATAATACCAGCCCAAACATTTATTGAAAACTGTTCTTGATGATTTGATTCAACAATTGCAAAAGGGTTTTCATCCGCCCACAAATAGTTATTATGGAAATTTCGTATTGAGTTTCGAGAAAAACTAGCTTCATCGGTAAAAAGAATGTACCTGTGAAATAACGGATTTTCCAGCAGCTTTTGAAGAAACCACTCACAGAAATGAATGCGCAACGGGAAATCTCTAGGGAGTAATGCCTGGACTCTTTCAATGTGATATGGACATAACAAATTTTCGATAAGAATTTTCCAAACAAGTACGTGTGAAACATTAAATGTTGCCGCGATTTTCCTCCTGCTAATTTCGGGGTTCTCCTCAATTTCATGTAAAATTCCTTCTTCAAGTTCCGGTGTTCTTACTGTTTCAGGGACTCCTTTAGCACTGTGGTCTACTTTTAAATTTCCGGTTTCGTGAAGACGTCTATGAATCCCAGAAAATGTTCCCGGATCGGGTAGTACGCGATTTGGATACCGCTCTTGGTATATCCTCCTGGCTTCGTATGCATTTCCGTCGGCAACCCCATAAGTAAAATGCATGTCAGCTAATTCACCGATTGTAAAATTTACCATTTTTTATGAGATTTTACTTCCTACTCTAATAATTTTTTAATAATGAAAAATCAATGTCAACTTTATTGCGAAAAGAAGCGTCAAAAATTATGACACTTTACCCAGCCTACTAATTTTTATTTCATTTGCTTTAAGGGGGCATTTAATGAGCTTACCGTTTTTTCTATCCAAACATTTAATATTATGCCTACGTGAACGTCATTTGTGAAAGTAGGAAATTAATTTTTGCCCCACAAAAACTGTTTCCACGCATGGTGGGTGTCTACAAAATGGCAACAAAATATCAAAAGCAGTCTCAATGAACTTGGGGAAAAAACTTTTTTTGGTTTTCATTTTTTTACGTGCAAATGGTGCGTCGTACGAGAGTAAGTCTAGGGACCGAATTTACTGTAAAGTAAATGGAGATTTTAAAAATAATTTTAGTTTTTAGAAAAAGCTGTGGCTTACCATTTTTTTCTTCAAAAATGTTTAGTTCAAACCTCGTATGGACGTCATTGGCAAAGATTTTAAAACATTTTTTACATCAAACAATGCTCCTTAATAATTAATAGGTGTGTACAAAATTTCATAAAAATATCTGGAGTGATAAGAAAATTATAATTAAAAAGGAAATTTTTTCTTAAAACTGTAAAACCCTGTAGCTCAAAAATTAAGAGGTTTAGGACATATGTCGATATTAAGTTTTCTTCTTAAAATGACCCAAGGATTCACACCCTTAAGTATCGGCATTCAATTAATAAACACCCTGTATATACAACCCTTTCCGATTTTCCGAGATAGGAATTTTAATTTTTTATTTTACGAATTCCATTCGAAACTTTTCATCATAAAAGTTCTTTTTGTGGGACTATTATCCTCTAAAAACGGTATGAGTTCTATTCTTATTTATAAAAATATGACCACCTCAGTTTTCACCAAACGCAGCTAGTCTCTAGCTATAATGGCCTCCGTTGGCCAATTGGAATGCATGGCTCATCGTAAAGAATGACCATAAGGCAAAAATAATTGAAAGATTTAAACAATAAAATCATTTCCATAGTGACAAATTGCAAATTTGTAGCAGTGACGTAGAACCTATTCAAAAATAACAAGGAGATATATTTTGCAGTAACGTGTCTCAGGAAAATGCAAATTTTCACATTTAATGTCATTTTATTCAGGTTTGAGCATGCAAAATGTTGTTTCAATATTTTCATTTTCTCTGTCCCAGAATAACGTTTACAACGGAAGACTACAGATTCGTCGACTCAATCTTTGATTCAGATACTGCCGAACATTTATAGTGAAATGTGATGGAGCGCTATCATGCATAAACTACATAGCTGTGAGTAATAACAGCACATCTTCCAATAACTCGGTTTTGCAAAAATTCTAAATAAAATTCCCTATTCAGTCTATTGTGTAGAATAACGGCCAATAATAATGCTATCCCAAACAAGTTCAAACTGAAATTATAGTCAATCTACAAAATCAGAGCCTACTAGCACTTTGTTAAGTATTGTAATATGGGTGGCAAGATAATGCATACTTTTAAAAAATATTTTTTTGTACCCAAACCACTCATTTAATCAAAATTTTACAAGCGACCCAAAAACTTCCAAATGATATCACCTATGAAATAAAATATATACACCGCGGTCGAAATTATAGAGAGTGACTCATCGCTAGCTTTTGGACTAGTAAGGGGGATGAAGCGTGCCGGGAACGAAAATCCATTGGCGTGTCTGCGTAAAAGGCAACAAGATATAGAATATATTGAAAAAAGATAATAAAACATAACATCTAATATTTTTTTACGGTCTGCTATAACCGGCACTTTGATCCATTTTAATTATTACAGCATTTTAAAACGTCCCAGTTGTGTTTTTTTAATTTATAAATTTATTATAGCCATTGAATTAGACCTCTTGTCTACGCTTATGCTATGACGTTTCTCAGGACGGATAAATCAAGTCCGTTTACACCCACTAAAAAAGCATTTCCCTATTCCTTAACAAGTGCAAAAGACAGAGATAGAATATAGATCGACGTTCAATGTAATTCAGTCTATAGACGATTATAGATTCTATCGATGTGCGTAGCGAGCGGTACAAAAATAAATAATATTGAATCGTATAAAAATCATTTTATATTTTATACGCATTATGGTAATAGTGTTTTTATATTATGTCTGAGTCACTCTCTATAATTTCGACCGCGGAGTATAGTTGTCATTATTGCCCGAAAGAGGAAAAAGTTATGGACGGATATTATCACTTACCATCAATTTTGTAGGAGTTGCAAGTTTTAAAAAACATTTTGTATAACACCAAAATGTGTAGATTGAAAGCAAAAGTCCACACTCCAAAAATAATCAAAATAGAATAATGCGTATTCGAGTTATTTACAAAATTAAAAAAAAAATCACGAACTTTTAGACCATCTCGCGTCCAAACGAAGCGATTTTGGATATAGGTGAATTAGCCTAAATCTGCCTATCTTGAATCCACGAATCTGTGGTCTTCCATTGTACACGTTATTCTGGGACATCCTGTAAATATTTATTTTTGACATGTGAAAAAAAATTGCAGGCTTAGAAATTATTGTTGGAAATGTCTGAACCGTTTCATCATCTTCCACAATACAATTTTAAAACATATGTATGTATAACTCATTTTTTTTTAAATAGGCCTTTAAAAATGATGTTATTTTTATTTTATACACACAAACACACCGCATTTTGCTGAAATTAAACAAAGTAGGCATTTAACAAAACACTCAAATTAAAAAAAGTGTTCGCAA